GGGAGGGGGGAGAACAGGGGAACCCGTGGTTGATATGTAGAATTGAATAGTATTGTAAAATAAAATAAAATAAAATGATAATAATAATAATAATAATAATAATAATAATAATAAAAACTGAATGGTATTGTAAAATAAAATAAAAGGAAAAAAAGAAAAAAAAAGAAAGAAACTAGATCAAACTGTGAGAGAGGTGGGAAGAGCCAGGTATTCTTACAGGTCAGGCAATATTAATATGTAAACAAGCGTGTACTGAAACTTGTCACGTGGCATTTCCAGAATTAGTCTCCAGCCCACTTCGTCTCTGTGGGATCCATTACAATGACACCACTGCACCCAGGACCTGTTCTTTCCTCAGCTGCCTAAATCAGACAGACAAAACCAGAAATAAGAATTTTCTCAGATACCAGTTACTAACAGAGAGCAGTTAGTCCTACATACCCTCACACTTGATTATCAGATGGGTCTGGAAACAGGAAAAGTCAAGTTTCAAGGTCTCCATTGGTCATTTAGAATAGCAGGGGTGGAGGGGGTAGGAGGTCCACCAAGCCATGCCTGTCCTGCGGGAAGGTTCCTCCCAGCACAGCGACAGCCCAGGTCAGCAGGTCAACCTGCACTGGAACCTCTGCCGTCTCTCCTGCCCTCCCCTTCCCATTTCCTGAGAGAGCTCGTCACATCCCAGAAGCAACCCCAGTGTGACATCTGGGAGATGTGCAGCTGTGCCTGAGAACTCCGCTCTGTGTTTCTGTTCCAGAATGACAAGGTTGACTTCTCCTATAACCAGCTGGCCGACCCTAAGTTCTCATTCTATGATAATACTTTGGTGGAAGCCGTGAGGAATGAAGACCGCTTTGTGTACCTCTTCTTCCTCTGCCTCTCACTGTGCCACACTGTGATGTCCGAAGAGAAGGTGGAAGGTGAGCGTGGGCCTGAGCCTCACGGACTGAGACTGTGCCCCGAAGTCAGGACTGCTTGAAGTAGGGTGGTGTGATACACTCTGAACAGTCTAACCTCAGAAAGGATTCCTAACAAGGGTGTGCTGGCCAGCAGTGGGATGGTAAGTGGGTAGCAAGCTGGTTTAGGGAAAGTGTCAGTCACTGGATAGGGGTCGAACTGGTGCCCTCCAGAGAGGTTTTGATCTTGAGGCTCTGTGGGTTCTGAAGCATCCATCTGACCAGTCCCACTGTCTTTGCAGACTTCCTGGAAGGTGAATTGAGTTGTTGTCCTGTCACTTACAGTGTGTCTCAGTCATCACCATGTGTCTTAGCTTCTTTAGTGTGACAAAGTCATCCATTAATTACCCAAACTTTTTTTAAAACAATGAATGAAAAATGACTGTTTATTCATTATTAAGTCTTTCTTCTTAAAATGTTTTTAATTTTTTATTATTATTTTAAGTGTAGGCATGTTTTGCCTACATGTATGTCTGTGTGCCACTTACGTGCTTGGTGCTTGTGGGGTCAGAAGAGGGCATTGGATCCCCTGGGACTGGAGTTGTAGGTGGTTGTGAGCCACCATGAGGGTGTTGGAAATTGAACCTGGGTCCTTTCCTTTCAGCCAAGGTTTCTCTATGTAGTCCTGGCTGTCTTGGAATTCACTATGTAGACCAGGCTGGCCTCAAACTCACAGAGATCCTCCTGCCCCCATCTCCTGGGTAGAATTAAAGGTTTGCAGCACCATGCCCGGCCTAAGGTTTATTTTTATATGTATGGGCATTTCTCCTGTATGTATGTCTGTGTACCATGTGCATGCCTGGTGCCCAAAGTGGCCAGTAGAGGGTGTCAGATCCCCTGGAACTAGACTTACAGATGGTTGTGAGCCACCATGTGAGTGCTGGGAATAGAGCCATGGTCCTCTTGAAGAGCAGCCAGTGTTCTTAACCTTTTAGGGCCAGGCATGTAAGGAAGTTTTGAAGAACTATATCCCCTTCTGGGCTCTCTTTGTAAGCCACTGGAAATGTGGTCTCACTTCTGGGTGAACTAAGTTGCTCACCTCTGCAGGCTCTGTCACCTTTTCGTCTCTTGTCAGGTGAGCTGGTGTACCAGGCTCAGTCACCAGATGAAGGTGCCCTGGTCACTGCTTCTAGGAACTTTGGCTTTGTGTTCTGTTCCCGCACACCTGAGACAATCACAGTGATCGAAATGGGGAAAATACGAGTTTACCAGCTGCTGGCTATTTTGGACTTCAGCAATGAGCGCAAGAGGATGTCTGTGGTTGGTGGGTGCTCCCTCTAAGTCAGTCTCTTGGTGACAAGTGCTCGCTCTCAGTCACTCTCTGTCCTTTGCGTACATTTGCATATTGACTTTTTGTTTCATCTACACATCAGTCCTTCCCCCCACTCACATGACTTCCCTCAGATATTTGGCCTCAAACACACACACACACACACACACACACACACACACACACACACACACACTTTCTCTCTTGTCTCCTTTAAATTGTTTCTTACATATAAATAGGGCCTTGCTACCAAGTGCTGAGTCCTTTCTCTAGTATTTCTGCTAGTGACTTGCCAGTATGTTCAAATCTAAGATGAGGACATAAAATTAACCCATAAAGCCTGAACACGGCATAAGAAATGGGAACTAATAATATAGTCGGCCCTCCTTGCCCATGGAGTCACAGATTCAGCCAACTATAGATCAAAAATATTTTAAAGTATTTGGGGGCAAGTTCCAAGCCCCAGCCTCAGATAATAGTGAGACCCTGCCTCACGAAGGAAAACGAAAACAACTAAATAATAGTCTGCATCAGACTCTTCCTGAGGGACATTGACCCACAGAAGAATTGTTTTGAAAAGTTTCTCTGTCACTATCATGATCTGTCCTGTGTGACCACTCCATTGAGTTCTTAGCCTCAACAAATGTTAGGGGGAACAGCCCCCTTTTATCCCTCAATGAACCCAAACAAATTTTTAAGCAGTAGGCCTATATGATTATTTTGCTTAATCTGTTCATCTTTAGTTCGGACACCTGAAAATCGGGTCATGTTGTTCTGCAAGGGAGCAGACACCATCATCTACGAGCTCCTTCATCCCTCCTGTGCGTCCCTTAGTGATGTGACCATGGACCACTTAGATGTAAGTGTGGAGGTGGAAGCAGATGGCAGCTGTGGGTGGTTCTCTCTCTGCAACTTCTCACATGATTTGACCAGTAACTTGTCCCTGTTTTAGGGTGTTTCTAGATGGGTTTGTGTTGCATCAGTTTTATTCATTCATTCATTCTTTCTTTCTTTCTTTCATTCTTTCATTTTATTGAAAGAAATATTTATTTCATCTCATTTATTTATTTATTTTGGGGTTGACCAAAGAAAGACTAAAACTATTTTATTTTGTTGTGTTCTCACATTTCCAACTTCTGTGTTAAAGAATTATGTGGGACAAGACCCCAGAGGCATAATGAGGATCATGTCTGCAGGATCACATACAGTGATCAGAATAGTTCTATGATTCTTGCCTCCTGAGGTCCTACAGACCTGGTATTTGCTTCAGAACATGGAGGCCTTATTCCACAGACGTGCTCCTTTTAGGGTAAGGAGCAGAACACAAGCACTAGGCTTGTTATCAAACCCTCGAGGGCACCTTCCCGCTCCCTGTCTTATTCTATTCTACCTACTAGCATTTGCAATATATCATAGAGAAAAGAGAGTGACCTCAGCTTGCTGTCACAAGAAAGGGAAAGCAGATCAATACACTCCGAGATTTCTAATGCTCTACCTGTATGTGTAAAAGGCCAACAAGACAGGACGGAGAGGGAGGAGCCGATCAGTAAAATGGTTCATAAAGTAGATTTAGAAAATACTATTTTATTATGCCTTACCATGTGGACAGAGTCAGGGAACAAATAAACACATGAAAAGATGCTGGCATCATCAGTTATTAGAAAAATACAAATTAAAAAACATGAAATGCTGCTTTTCTCTCTACCAGGGTGGTTTAAACCTGGTGACCAGACCATACTAAATGTCATCTAGATGTAGGAAAATATAACCCTCATACATTGCTGATAAAAAGGTGTAATGGCATTTGGGAAAACAGTCTTGCATTTCCTCAGAAAAATTAAGCATAGTGTTGTCATGTGACTCAGAATTCCATTCCTAGTTCTGTTTCCAGAGAAATGAAAACACATCGAAAAAACATAGAAAAAACATAGATGACTGTTTATAGCAGATTATTCATAACTGCAAAATGGCTGGAGCAACCCAAATGTCCATCAGCAGATAATGGAATAAATAAAATGTGCTTTTTTTCCTACAAAGCGATTTTTGGCAATAAAAGGGAATGAAGTACATGCTGCCATAGATGAACCTTGAAAACATGCCACATGAAAAAGGCAGAAGATCACATTATCAGAAGATCTGATTCACCTTAGAAAACTACAGAGAAAGAAAGTAACTTCTGGCCAGGCTCAGCAGATCAAGCCTGATAAGCTGAGTCAGGATCCACAGCATGGGAAGAAAGAACCAGCTTCCACAAGTTGTCCACTGACGTACAGACATACAGACATACACACACACACACACACACACACACACACACACACACACACACACAGAGAGAGAGAGAGAGAGAGAGAGAGAGAGAGAATGTGTGTCATGATAGATAGATAGATAGATAGATAGATAGATAGATAGATAGATAGATAGATAGATAGATAGATAGACAGATAAATGTCTTTAAATGCAAAACAAAAAAAGTGAGTTAGTTTCTGGGGTAGGGGAAAGGAGTGGAGGATGACTGCTAATAGACGTGTTTCTCTGGAGGTTTATGGAGGTTCTGGCATTAGATAATGGTGAGCATTCTACAAACTGATGAATCATAAACTAAACCGTGGGTTTTAAAATGGTGAATCTTACAGTATGTAAGTTATATATCAAGGTTTTAAAATCCATTTATCTGTGCATGTATGTGGGTGAGTGAGTACCATGGCCCCAGGGTAGCGGTCAGAGGATCCATTTGTAGGAGTTGGTTCTCTCCATCACGTGAGCCCGAGGGATCTAAAGAGGGTTGTCAGGGTTGCCAGAAAGTGCCTGTACCCACTAAGCCATCCTGCCAGCCATATCTCAAGTTTTAAGAAGTGAGTTTTGTCCTCCCCAAAACAGCCCTTCCATCTTATTCTCATTCAGGCCCCGGTGTCTTCTCATGGCCTGCTCTCTTATCTAGAGCACCTTCACAGATGGCTTTTCCCCAGCCTGGCTTCAAAGGATGGTCAGAAAAGCATTTCAGACCTTTGCACATGTTTCCTGATGCCAACTTCAACAGTCACTTATAATGCGATTTAACCACACTAACCATCTGAAGACGAACCTGTAGGAGTCAAACTCCAATACACAAGCACAGCCCCAGGCCCAGCAACACAGGAATCGCAAATAGGCCACATAAAAACAGGTGGCAGGAAGGATTTGGACACCAGGCCATGGTTTGCCCATGACAGGAGAAAAGAAAAATACACCAGTAGAGATGAGAGATGTTAGCATACTCTGCAGAGTGATTTGTCAATGGATTAATGAATCTGTTGGTGTATTGTCCTCTAACCTATATCCAATACAGAATCACCTTCTGCCATTATCACACCCTTCCTAAGTCTCCTGAGACCTTCTCTGCCTATAGGACAAATACTTAAGACTTGGCATTCCCTAGGGATATTGCCTTACATTGTTTATACCTGGAAATTAACGTCAACTGAGAAGTTAAACAAGTAATAAGAACAAATCTGTAGGGCTGGAGAGATGGCTTGGTGGTTAAGAGCACTGCCTGTTCTTCCAGAGGTCCTGAGTTCAACTCCCAGCAACCACATGGTGGCTCCCAACCATCTCTAGTGGGATCTGATGCCCTCTTCTGGCATAAAGTTGTACATGCAGATAAAGAAGCCATATACATAAATAAATAATAAAAAGTCTTTAAAAAAAAAAAAGAACAAATTTGTGTTTTCTCTGATCTTATAATGCCAGTGGATTCTCACTCCCTTTACTCTAGCGGTAAGACCAGACTCATGGTGATTTAGAGGTCCGATACATAAAATCTGCTCTAACCCATCCTCAGATGGGTGAGTTCTGCTCCAAGCTACCCACATTCTCACCCAGGCCTCCTTATGACCAGGCTATACTCCAGCAGCATGGCTGCCTATGGCTAACTAAGATACATCTGTGACCAAGGAATGAACATACTAACTCACCCCAGATTAGTACAGTTGTCTACAGCAGCTCACTAAACAATGAGATGCAGACAGACTGTGAGCATGTGCTGTCTAAGTTGTTCGTTGAATACTTGATGGAGAAAGGATGAGGGGAAACTGAATGTGTATTTGCAAAGAGTGGTAATACCTTATTACGTAACATCACTTTATAACAACTCCCTCTTAGTCTATTACTCTCTCCCTTTTCATGCCATCATCATCATTATCCTCTCTATAAGGAGTATATTATATATTATATTATTATCCAGATCTTAGAAGAAGGAACTCTAGACGTAGCCTAGGCTGACCTGGACCTTAGGATCTTCCTTCAAGTGCTGTGATTACGTACACGTATCACTCACTTGGCTTCCCTGGAACATTTTGCTTAGAAAGTACAAGACTAGTCACATGGCCCTAACTAGGAAACTCTGTTTTACAGGCAGATGGGCCCTGTGGTCAGTCTGCCAGTCCCTTACCTCTGCCTTACCAGCTCAGGCTTGGCACACACACACACACACACACACACACACACACACACACACATATATATCTTCCAGGATTTTGCCAGTGAAGGCCTGCGCACCCTCATGGTAGCTTACCGAGAATTGGATAGTGCATTTTTCCAGAAGTGGATTAAAAAGCACAGTGAAGCCTGCCTGACTCTCGAGGATCGAGAAAGAAAATTAACTCTGGTCTATGAAGAAGTTGAAAGCAACTTAATGGTGAGTGTGAGGATCTCGGGACGGACTGAGGGCAGAGATGTGGGAATGGCAGCACGTAGCCTGAGCAAGCGTTCTAAGAGGGACCTCCACAGGGTCAGCACACGGGCCTTTCTCTGGGAGGAGGATAGGTAAGCTCAATAAGAAAGCCCCAAAATTTTGTGTCTGGGAAACTAAGTACAGGGCTCCATGTTGATTGAACATACCCAGAATCTTCTAAATTCGTTATTAAAAACTCTTCTGGCTATAGTTTTTTTAAAAGTCCTTCTTATCCCTCAAAATCTGCTCAAAACAAAACAAAACAAAACAAACAAACAAAAACAACAACAACAACACCCACAACATAGTCTGGGGCTAGGGTTGCAGCGCAGTTGGTAGAGTGCTGCTGGTCTAGCGTGCAGGAAGCTCTGAGCTCCATCCCGAGTGCACGTAACGCTGGGTCTGGGAATACAAGCCCGTACCTGCAGCACTCGGGAGGTGAAGGTGGGAGGCTTGGAACTTCAGGCTCATCCTTAGCTACATAGCAGGATGAAGATTCTGTCTCAAAATAAAGGAAGGAAGGGAAGAAAGGAGGAATGAATCCAGAAGGAAAGATCTGAATAATATACAGATTCGATGATTCAGTAGGAATTAATATCATAATCAAGACAAAAATAATTTACTCATTCAACATATATATCAAGTGCTGCTATGAACCACTGTGTCCTTTGTATTGGTAGAGAAAACAGGCAAAAGCTAATAGATATATAGTATGTTAGGGGTGAAATATTACAGGGAAAAAGTGAAATAATGTCAGACGAGAAAGTTAGATGCGCTTCAGGTGTGAAGGGCAGAGGCACTGCTGTATTACAAGGCGTTTGGTCTGCTCTGCGGAGAAGACATCTGAGAGAATCCTCGGGAAGCGGACAAGCCAAGCCGCTCCCCAGCTGTGCAAACCAGCTCTTCACACACCGTGATGGGCGATGGCAATAGGAAAGACCCAGCGAGGGCGGGCTTAAGCTGTTAGAGAGCGGAGCAGCTGGAGCGGGACCAGGGAGGAGGCAGAACAGAGGCGGCGGACACAGGTGAGCGTCCTCAGAGGCCAGCACGGCCCCTGCTCCTGAAGGGTTGGAGCCCCCAGGAGGGACGTGACAGCTCCAGCCACCACTCTGCGCAGACAGCTGCCAACAAGAAGGTAGTTACAACGCGGGCCGCAGCCCGCTCTGTTCTTCTAGAGTCAATAGAGTTTGCAGATGGGCTGATTATAGACATAAGAAAAAGAGACGTCGCCTAGCGGTGGTGGCCCACGCCTTTAACAACACCTTTAATCCCAGTACTCGGGAGGCAAGCAGATCTCTTGAGTTCGAGGCCAGCCTGGTCTACAGTGCTAGTTCTAGGGCAGCCAGGGTTACATAAAGAAACACTGTCTGGGGGTGGGGGGAGAAAAAAGAAAAGAAAAAGAGAAGTTAAGACGGCTCTAGAGGTGTGTATTTGTTGGTTACCAGACTGACCAGGCTGGCTCTGCTATGAAGAGAGAAATTACTGACAGCCAGAGAATATGGTAGAGACCTCAGCCTTCTGCTCTGCCTTAGTCTGTCATTCTCCTGCTCCTCAGTTTAGTTGTGGGCCCACCCCCATGTCAGCACCGCAGGAGTACTATAAACAAAAGGCTTAGTGTCAGAGAGCTGGAGAGTCTCCGGTGGGCTCAGTGGGCTCAAACCGGCCAGGAAACGCGCTGTGATACAGGAAGTTCAGGTTTGGTGTGAGCACATAGCTTCATATATGACTTGTGCGAGGCTCTTCTGTCTCCGGTTTCTAATGCTGTGTTTCTAACTTTGATTTCAGTGTGTGGTTAAAAACTGCATGTTGCCAGGTGTGGTAGCACATGCCTGTAATTCCTTGCAGAGGAAGGCGGGTCTCTGTGAGTTCAAGGCCAGCCTGGTCTACAGAGTGAGTTCAGGACAGCCAGGGCTACACAGAGAAACCCTGTCTCAAACAAACAAACGACAGCGGTGTGTCAGAGGCGTCTCGTGCTGACTTTTCCCTCGGGGACCCCCCTGCCAGGAGAGTCAGCTCAGAATGCTGGGGTGCATAAGCACTTAGTGCTGGAGCTCTCATCCTTGACCTCACTCACCAGTGTCTCCTCTCTGAAGTTACTAGGGGCCACAGCCATCGAAGACAAGCTTCAGAGCGGAGTACCTGAGACAATTTTCACCCTGAGCAAAGCCAAAATCAAAATGTGGGTTCTAACTGGCGATAAGCAAGGTAAAGGAAACGACCAGCTTGGACAACCCCCTTGCTGCCCAGTTTAACCATCTTTTCCTTCTTTGTGTGACCAAGTCCCTGCGAGACACCCGGCTTCCTTCCCACTTTTGTTAAACTTTTTTGTTACTTACTCTGTAGTAGTGGTCACTGGTGACAGAGACAAGTCAGCTGTGACCCATCAGGAGGGAATGGACCATATGAGAACTTGATAACGTTGTCTTTGATAGTACCTTGTCTGTTGTCCCAAAGACTGTTCTCTTACCACATTCCACCCTCTCTTCTGAAAATCCTGACTGCTATCACCCTTGTTCAGCCCTCGTCCCTGCGGTCTGCTCTCTCTGCCTCTTGCCCTTACGAATTTCAGCACAGTCCACACACAGCCGTCAACTGTGTCACCCTCACATAGACTAATTGTGTATTAACCTGCTGCCCAGGGACCTACAGCGACTTCGTGATGTAAACATCTCTTTGGCCTTCAAGGACCTAGACAGTCTGTTGCTACTCCTACATCCTTATCTCCCCTATTGTGACCATTATTTTCATATGTCCCCCCAAACCCAATTCCTACTCCTGGGTCTGGGTTGTTTTCCTACTCAAAATACCCTGGCTTCTCCTGCACAGTCCTCTGAATCCTTTAGGAACTTCCAGTGAGAAGTTTCTGAGAAAAATTGCATCTCTCTTATACATTCTCATTGCACTTGGGCATTAATTTTATTTTTATTTTTTCTTTATCATTAATTTATTCCAAATCCTATGTTTCTTAATATAAAAGAAATGATACAACTCGAGCATGTCTCTGTTCTCATAAAATTTAGCATACAAATAGGAATAGTGCTGTTCAAAGAAACATGCCCACAGGCAAGCTCTGAGGGTGAAGGACTTGCCACCAAGACTGTGACCACCTGACATCATGCCCTGGGGCCCATATGGTAGAAGAAGAGAATAGATCCCTGCAAGGTGCCCTCTGACCCCCACACACGCGCCGTGGCACACGTACACACACTCACCAGTAAGGAGACACCTTTTAGAGAAGACTGATTCTGAATGATCCTGGCTATTCATAAATAAATTCACAAATTCTCCTGTGAATGTTTGCCTACAGTCTCCCCTGGTTCATGAATAACGCATGTCATTTTAACTGTATCCAAGGTAAACATGGACGAGTGGGCTCTGAGTCTACTCTCTCTGTCCAAGTGCGTGTACTGTAAGGCCTCTGTAAGTGCCAGTCGAAATGAGACGTGTTCCCTTTTCCCTAGAGACTGCTGTGAACATCGCCTACGCCTGTAGGCTATTCAAGGATGAAATGGATGGGGTGTTCATGGTGGAAGGCACAGACAGGGAAAGTGTTCTGCAAGAACTCAGGTACACACAGGAACACAGCCTCAGTCTAGACCCAAGCTTTCCTCTCCCCTGTCCCCAAATGTGGTCCCTTCCACAGAAGGGACAGAAAAGAAACGAGGAAAGGGAAATAGACAGAACACCCAAAAGAGTTGAGATAATGTTATAAAGAAGCTCGTGGCCTGAAGGACTTAGAGTGTGGGTGGAGAACTGTGGATGTGGCAGCAGAGACCTCCCTCAAATGAGTCGAAAGCCACCTGCTGCTCTGGAGAGGCCTGGGACCTTCCTTGCCCACGTTGACCTTGGACGTGTTTTTTTCTTCCTACGTTGTAGGGCTTCAGATGAGACTCTGACCTTGGTTTTTTGGTTTCCAGGAGTGCAAGGAACAAGATGAAACCCGAGTCTCTGCTGGAATCAGATCCCATAAACATTTATCTTGCCAGGAAACCCAAAATGCCTACAAGAGTACTTGACGAGACACCCAACGGCGACTATGGCCTGGTCATCAGCGGCTACAGTCTGGTGGGCAGCACAGAGCTACCACTCTGTTCCTCTGTCCCAAGTCACTCTATCCTAGGTCCAACCCAGCTCAGGGAAACTAAACCCCTTCTCTATTCTATGAGTCACCCTTCTCCCCTCCCCTGGGTTACTCTTCCCTGAAAGACATCTTTCTCCAGACTACTCTAGACAAGAGTATATTAAGAAAAAGAAGCCAAAGAAAAGTCTTCCTGTATTCTTTATTCAAGTTTTTCCTACTAACATGGCTTGCTACTCTGGGAAAAGGGGCAAACAAGCAGAACAGGACCCTTCAAAAGTCACTTGGCCTAATGACCCACGGACTGTTTTAACCCAGTGAGAGGCCATAAATGGTTTCCCACTGAAGGCTGGGCCAGATGCGAGGAAACTAACTCACATCTAGAACTGACTCAAGAGGTGGCCCCTTCGGGGGTAGAGCACCTTGTGAGGAGCCAGGCTCGCCCTAGAAAAGACGGGAAAGACAAAGGGAAGGTCCAACCCTGAAAGACTTTGGGGTAACACATGAGTAAGTGTGTCTTGGTGCCACAGGCCTATGCTCTAGAAGGGAACATGGAGTTGGAGCTACTACGAACAGCGTGCATGTGCAAGGCGGTAATCTGCTGCCGGATGACCCCCCTTCAGAAGGCCCAAGTGGTAGACCTGGTGAAGAGGTACAAGAAGGCAGTGACCCTGGCCATCGGGGACGGGGCCAATGACATCGGCATGATCAAAGGCATGTGAGGGGCGGTGGGCAGTAGTCCCCAGCCTTGGCTTACCCTCCCTTCCTCCATGGGCAAAACTGATCTGAATGGTATTGTGTTGTTGACTCGTGCGCCCGCCTAACTTACGAAGTGTGCATTCATTAATGTTTGCAACCCCATTCACACTCCTTTATCCGGGAACTCATGCTTAAATCCGCAGCCATAGGCATGCACAAACTCTGATTGATTCATGGGTACGATGAAGGGGACCCCACATGAGCACACGCACACCCCTACATCTGAAATGGCATTGGGTCCACAGAGAGGGCCTCTGTAGGAGTCAGGCTCTCAGTCTGTGGGCTCAAGGCCGTGCTCCTGAGAATCTGCTGTGCTCCCCTGTGGAGGGGAGTGGGTGGTTTATGGAAATTCATACCAGAAGAAGCAAATAGCAAAAATTTTTGGTTTAAATTTCAAGTGCATGTCCAGAAACATGTCGATCTGTGAGGTATGAGCAAAATCTTACACAGGAAACATTACCAGACAGCCCAGCCTCTACTTCAGTTCTAGAAAGTGTTCTGGCTCCAGTCTTTGAGACTTTAAAAACTTCAGTTATCCTAGCTGGGCATGGTCCTGCACACCTTTAATCCCAGCACTCTGGAGGCAGGGGCAGGTAGGCCTCTGAGTAAGGCTACACAGAGAAATCCTGTCTTGGGAACAAACAAACAAATAAATAAATAAATAAATAAATTGGAAAAAAGAAATTTCAGTTAACCCTATTGAGCTAATGTAGGGTTACATGAGCCTAATAATGTAGGTATACATGAGAAAATCAGTGAATGTAACCAGAATAGTGAGTTGTCAGAGTAATTAAACCTTTTAGGAAATCCAGTTTCTTATCTTCTATCAAATACAATCTTGCTTTATCAAAAAATGCAAAAAATCACTTTAAGTCTCCAGAAGAATTTATTTCTCACTAACCAAGTATGTACATTGTATATCCCTCTGAACAGGTGGGATTTTGCCCCTTAGATAAATGTGGGTAATTAAATATTGTCTTCGATTGACATTCACCCTGTATTTTTAATCCATTTAAGTAGCTGCTGTGGATAACAAGGGATTTAACTCACAATTATCTGAGTAGTTAGAAAGAGTTCAGATGGCCCGCAGAGGGGCAGAGGGCAACCTTCTAGTGCTGGCTGTCTAGCAATCTTGAATGACAGCATCCAAAACAAAATACAGAAGAAGGGGCTTCCCAGGGCGCGGGGAAAGGGCAGTCAATCCAAAAGAAAAGATTCCACTGTGAAGATGCCATTTTTACCTGGGCCTAACAGTTCCAAATGTAACATATAAGGTCTGCATCTCCTCGTTCCCTTTACACTCCCAGGTTAAGAACCCAGCAAACAGTCTTCACGGCTTAGAAATGTCTGGGGTTTCCTTGCAGCTGCCCACATCGGGGTTGGCATCACGGGCCACGAAGGGATGCAGGCCATGCTCAACAGCGACTTCTCCTTCAGCCAGTTCCACCACCTTCAGCGCCTCCTCATGGTGCATGGCCGCTGGTCTTACAATCGCATGTGCAAGTTCCTCAGCTACTTCTTTTACAAAAACTTCGCCTTTACACTGGTGCACTTCTGGTACGCCTTCTTCAACGGGTTCTCTGCTCAGGTAAGAGAGTGGGTAGCACTCTCCGTCCTATTCGCCAGGCGTGGACAGTTTTCTTTCTCTAGAAGCCAGTGTATGAAGTGTTGCCGTCCCTCTCTTCGGCCTGTATTAGTCCCACTGCCCAAACCTACGTTGACCTTACATTTGCAGATCACAGGGTTCTGTTACTGACTGCTACCTTCAGAACTCTCCCGTGAACTGCACTGATACTAGAGTTCTCAACATATATAATCAAGAAAAATTGGAGGATCTGGAAGTTCTCTTAGCATCCAAAGTCATCTTTGTGTTTTTATTGTCCATGGTATCTTAATAATTCTCCACTTTTATTACTTTTAGATTTTTTTATTTCATATGTATGAATGTTTTGCATGCATGTATGTATGTATGTGTACTTTGAGGCACATGCCTGGTGCCCTCAAAGGCCAAAAGTGTGTTTCAGATCCTCGGGAACTGGACTTCTCCACTTTTAAATACTAGTTTTAATTTTGTGATTATAATATAGAAGAGCCATATTTATTTTTAAATCATCAGAATCATAAAGCTATAATAGTTCCATTCTACATGCTTCTGGGGTACTTTAAAATGGCTATATTCTAAGTCTGTAGGTGAATAATGACAACGGTCCAAATATATCATCCATGCAGCTTAGACTAAAGACTGGGCAAGCCTCCAGGAGCTTCCTGGATCATGACAGACAGGATGTCCCGATGTTCACCTGTACCTAGAACTATTGCTGCCCAGGTCTGCCCCCAACATGCACAAAATTGTTTCTCTGATAAATTAATTTCACATTTGAATATGAAATCACAACCCAGTAAGGAAATGTGGATTTTGATGTTATAAGAAGAGCCCTTCGTCCTGTGAGAAGTCTTTCGGGAATTTCCCAAGATAAACAACTTGAGGACTGGTTATCTTGTGAGATGCCTACACCAGTCGGTGGGCAGAGCAGACTGACTCCCCGGTCCTTGTCAGGCCTATCTGGTCTGTGGGAGTGGTCTGGCTCCTGTGGACAGTAAGGAAAGTGGCCCTCACTCGGTTCCAGGATGGAACACCCAGCTGGAGGAGTCCTTACATCTTTGTCCCTTACCCTGTTAGTAAATGGTCAGGGCCACAGAAGCCACTGAATGCCACCAAGCAGAGAAAGAACCTCAAGCTTCACTTGCCTAGAGGTTCAGGACTATGGCTAGCTTTCCCTGGAAGCCCATCTGTGTCCTCTATGCCCAGAGGGACAGTGCAGGACATAGTAGGGTTGTTTCAGGTCAATCTTGGAAGCTCAGCATGGCCTTGCCTCCCTCGGTCTAGGAATCTGGGTTCTAGAGTAATATCAAAGAAAGACTGGGACTCTATACCAGATTCAATCATGCTAGGTAGGGGACCAGGAGAGTGTTACATTGGACTGGTCAGGGCGTGGGGGGGGGGGGATAGAGCTGGGGCTTTATGAAGAAAGAAATCTACAAAAAAAAAAAAAAACATCTCCTTGGTTCTCTTCCAGACAGTGTACGACACTTGGTTTATCACCTGCTACAATCTGATCTACACTTCCCTCCCTGTGCTTGGCTTGAGTCTGTTTGAAAAGGTAAGAGCCAGGAGCAGGTCTCTCCGACAGGACTGAAACCCTGGACTCCAAGAGTGAGGAAGGAATCAACAGTGGGCTCTCCAAAATCAAGTGTGAAGGAAATAATTTCCAGAGCAGGGAACGGAGCTGACCACCTAGACAGTGTCAGAGGGTGAGGAAGGACCCGTGCAAAACTTAGTGTGAGGGACAGAGCCAAAGAAGTGAGAAAGGACAGGCCTATGCAGAGGCAACGGACGAGATAACCTGCTGCGGGCGGCCTCGGGCGGGCGTTCTAAAAGCCAGGCATGGGCCGTGGGCACAATACCTCAGGACACACGGGACCAGCCCAGGGCTCAGTGTCTTTTACCTGTTAGAGATTCCCTCCATAGTAAGAGTCCTGAGGCTGGGCAGTGGGGGCGCACACCTTTAATCCCAGCACTCGGGAGGCAGAGGCAGGTGGATCTCTGTGAGTTCGAGGCCAGCCTGGGCTACAGAGTGAGTTCCAGGACAGCAAGGACAAAAGAAAAAAAAAGAGTCCTGATAGGTGTCTCCCTGACTCTCCTACTCCAGCCTCCATTCTGGGCACCAGTTAGAGTCTCCAGTAGATGAGGAGCATCTTCCAAAGGACTTGCTAATCCTAACTGGTTTTCCTGCCTCCACCCACTGACTTTTGACACAAGCACATTTAACCAAAGAAACACTTCTACCTGGGGACTTAGGCCCCTGTTCCCCCTCCCCCAAGCTCCTCCCCTCCCTTCCAGCTGCCTGTCTGTCAGAGTGCTCCCTTGTCACCCCCACATCCTCACTGCCTCCAGCCGCTGCCCACCCTCCTGCCTCCAGGCTTTCTGCTACAGGGTCTCATCTAGAGAGGGCTGTGGTCACTGCTCTGTTCTCTGGTCCTGCTTCTCAAGCACTCCATGAGAAGATCCTGGGCAGCCTGCAGTACACTAAGTGAGGTCCTGACCTTCTCCTAACCCCCTGATATTACCAGGATGTGAATGAAACATGGAGTCTGTGTTACCCAGAGCTGTATGAGCCAGGACAGCACAACCTGTATTTCAACAAGAAGGAATTTATTAAGTGTTTGATACATGGCATCTACAGTTCCTTCGTGCTCTTCTTTGTCCCCATGGGGACCATCTTCAACTCAGAACGCAGTGATGGAAAGGACATCTCTGACTTCCAGTCCTTCTCCTTGATAGTGCAGACCACCTTGATCTGGGTGATGACGATGCAGGTGTGGCCCCTGTGTAGCGGGAGTGAGTGAGGGGATGGGGTGGGAACCTGTCTGCCAGAAAGGGAGGGGGAGAGAGGGAGGGTGGCAGGGAACACCTTGCATCGCGGGCTTAGAGAATGGAAGGGGCTGAGAAGTTATACGGCTTACACATGAGCTGGTGCTTTTCAGATCGCCCTGAGGACAAACACCTGGACGATAATAAGCCATGCCTTCACCTGGGGTAGCCTGGGCCTCTACTTCTGCGTCTTATTCTTCCTGTATAGTGATGGCTTGTGTCTGATGTCCCCCAGCACCTTCCAGTTCTTAGGTAAGACCCTGCCCAGCGGGTGTCTGGCATCGGGGAGGACTAATACAGTGCTAATCTAATGTGTACCGAGAAACTAGAGATTACATACTTGATGCTTAGATACCATATGAATAGAAAGAGTCTCTGCTTCAAAGGGGTGCAGAACCTTCCTAGGAAAACATTTAACTTTAGAATTTCCATTTTTCCAAATATCTTAGATTATTTGATCTTCACAAGTCTCTCTTGAAGTGACAGGGCAAGAATTATTAGCAGCATTTGGGGGACTTTGTTTTACAATTTGTGATTTTTATTTTATGTGCATTGGAATGTGTTTTGCCTGCATGTATGTCTGTGTAAGAGTGTCAGGTCCCCTGGAACTGGAGTTACAGACAGCTGTGAGCTGTCATGTGGGTGCTGGGAATTGAACCTGGGTCCTCTGGAAAAGCAGCCAGTGCCCTTAACTGCTGAGCCATCCCTCCAGCCTTCGTTTTTTGTGTCTTTGTTTATTTTTTCACTCAAATGACTTGAAATTCCAGTGCAAACTCCTGCTGAGGCTGCTGCCCTGCTGCCTCTCACACGGACCCTTCCTCACTGCCGTTCAGGTGCTATGCATGTGGACTTGCTTCCTGCCTCTTGTCAGTCCACTAACTCATTTTTCTTCTCCAAAGCTTTGTATTTTTTAAAATTTGTATTACATTTATTTATTATATAATTATTTACTGGGCATGTGAGAGACCAAGAGAAATAACAACTTGAAGGAGTCAGTTCTCACCTCTACCATGTGGTCCCAGGGAGGGAACTCAGGTGTCAGGCTTGGAGACATGCTGACCTCTGACCTGTCGTGCTGGCCCCAACGCCCCATATTCGTTTTTACGTGAATGCACTAGGCAGCTCTTGTCACCCACCCTCCCTCTCCCCTCTGCCCAGCCCAGCCTTTGGAGGGAGACCAAGGCATGGGAATTGTATCAGGCACCAAAGCAACCTTTTTCCAGGAAGGGGACACTACTACTGCTAAGTAGTTGTGAAGCTAAAAGATATATAGTGACTTTGCTCACAGTTGTGTTACTTCTCAGGGGACTGAGATTGTCCCCTGAGAAGATTGGAAATCAGAAACTTGCTTCTTGGGCCTGGAGAATGGAGCTAGGCCCTGGATGATTTCCCCCACCCCGAACTCCCTCCCCAAGCTGTGTCAGCCTCTCCTTTCCTGGTTCCCTGTCTGCAGGTGTGGCCAGGAACAACCTTAACCAGCCACAGATGTGGCTGTGTCTGATCCTCAGCACGGTCCTCTGTATGATTCCTGTGATTGGCTACAACTTCCTGAAACCACTGCTCTGTCCTGTCAATGTGGACAAGGTGAGTGGAGGAGGGAGTCTGCGCAGCCGGAACTCCCGGTCCCCTGTGCCTTTGCCTCCGTTCTGAAAACCTTGTCCCCATGCTCTGGATATAGGTTCTGAACAGGATTCATTTTTGCTTGAAACATCCACTGCCACCCACAGTCAAGACCAAAGCAAAACACCCAGGCCTTCGACGTTCTGCCTATGCGTTCTCCCACAAACAGGGCTTTGGGGACCTCATCACATCTGGCAAGACACTGAAGTCCAAGGCCTTCAAAACAAACAAGAAGTTCTTGTAAAAAGCAGAGGCCCTTAGGAAAGCACTCAATCAGTCAACAATTGCTCTTCCTCCCTTTAATTTATGCAACTTAGTAAAAAGGGATGAGGGTCTTGAGAAACAGCACCAACCTACCCCCAGGCCTTCAGCTTCCTCATCCCCCAGCAAGCTGTACCCTGGAAAGGCAAGGGAAGAGACAACAGCCCCAGATATCAGCCAGAGTTACAGCATTTCAAGAAAAGGCAAGTTCACGCCTCCCATGGTTCCTTCCACACTGTCATCCAGACAAGCAGATGTGGGAGAGATGAAGAGGGGCGATAAAGAAGGAGAAGACAGGGCCAAGGAACCTCAGTTTGGGCCCTGTCCCTCTCACACCCAGAGCAACTGTAAACCTTCCCAGAACCCCACGTGAACATATCCCACCCAGACACCGTTTTCAGATTTATCTGGAAGATTCAGGGTGCCAGGGTGAGTGTTTTGCTGGCCCTGAGCAGCAAAGGAGGCAGCCGTGAAGACTTGGTCTGAAGAAGCTGAAGCAGAGTTTCTGGACCAAACAGAAAAGAAGAAGAAGAAAGGAAAGACAATGGAGGCAGGTCCTGCCTGGATAGGACAGCTCAAATTCTGCCTTTCCCTCTCTGACCCCTTTGATCTAAGAACTGATGTTTATTCAGGCATTAGAACCTGGAGGGGAACAACACGGGATTTAGAAAATAATTTCCTAATGGGATGTAAGCCACTGCTGCTGAGTGTTTGTCTTCTATAGAATGATTCTGAGAAGAAATTGTATGGACTTGAAAAGATGTTTCTAAGAAGTTTGTGGAGAAATAAATTGCTTATTTGGAGTGAAGAGATTTGGGGGGGTAGTGACAGCAATATAATCTGAGCAATCTCATTGTGAAGCATTATCAAGCCAAGCACGGCCTAGGGACCCACATTCCCTGCCCCCTCCTTTTCTACTCCACTCTACTTTTCTGCCCCCTAAAGTCTATGCTGGCCTTGGTCTAACCACACATTTTTACACAAGGATTTTTTTCAAGGGGGGGAGGGGATGTCAAGACAGTGTTTCTCTGTGTGTAGACTTGACTGTCCTAGAACTCGCTATGTAGACCAGGCTGACCTCGAACTCACAGAGATCCGCCTGCCTCTGCCTCCTGAGTGCTGGGATTAAAGGTGAGTACCACCACCACCCTGACCACATATTTTTAACTACATGGTTCTATCTTGTTCACGTACCTTCAGCATGTGTTCCAAGAGTTCAGTCCTAGGCTTATGTTTTCTGTGTATCTCATCCTAACTCATGACATCCCATACCAACAGAAAGACAATTCTCAACCGTCTAGTCCCGTCCCTTCTTAGATCTTGGTCTAAATAGTGAACTGAATCTGGGACCCTTCACTTAGTCGAACCTCTCAAAGTGTAAACACAGCGTGCCCAACTTATACTGACCACATCCATACAGGACACCATCGCCATCACCCTAGTCACCCAGGCAGGGTGACCAGATCGGAGGCACCCTTTGCTCTTTCTTTTAGTCATATTCAGTCAGCCATCAAGTCATAACAATTCTTCATTCTATTTCTTGGTTTCTCTTCCTTCCTGTTACTCTAATACTATTACCTCTGCTCAGAATATTATCACCTCTTCACACACACACACACCACACACACACACACACACACACACACACACACTATTTCTCTGGGTCTTCTCCATTTGCAGCATCCTCATTACTATTTCCAGATCAGTCTTCCTGAAAGGAAAATACTCGTGTCTAGGCTCAACTTCGCTTTCTACATAGAGTTAAACTTTAGACACTATTATCGGGTCTTCTCAAGCCTTGTCTTCAACAACTCTTCCGTTTACCTTTATCTATTGGTCTTCATGGCATTGTGAACATCATTTTCATATCCTCAAATACTTTTCTCTACCCTTTTTTTAAAATCTAGTGAACCTAATACTTATCCTTAAAAACTTTGACTCAATGGGACGAGTTACAATCTGTTAATTTATTCAATGCCACTGAGTTGTACATCGTATGACTTCGCTATAGGACTCGCAAGCTGGCCTAGAACTGACTCACCTAGTCTGGCCTCCAACTTAAGATCTTCTTGCCTCCCAAGTGCTACCATGACAAGTGTGTGCCACTGCACTTGGAGGCTGGCATCATCATGGCTGGAACTCAGGTCTTCCTGTTTGCAAGGCAAGCGCTTTACCAACTCAGACCTATGTTTCCCTTTGTTTGTTTCTTTGTTTGAGGTAAGATCTCACTCTAGCCCAAGCTGACCTGGAACCTAATCTACAGCTCTGGCCAGCTTTGAACTCACACAAACCCTCGTACTCATCCTCCCGAGTGCTGGGATCACAGCCCTGAGCTACCGGTCTTGCTCTTTGCCTGTGTTTATTTCCACAAATAGTGTCAAACCAGACTCCGCGAAGTCTTGCTGGACCCTGCCTGCCATTTCTTTAAAATGATCTATTCAACTGTTACGTCATTTCTGGGTCAGAAATGTCTTTAATCCCCACCCCCACCCTGCTTATTTGTCTGGATCTCACAGCTCTCACTAATAACATCTACCCCTCTGGCCTCCGGCCTCCTATTTAGCTTCCTTCCAATCCATCATTTTACAGCACAGAGGAGAGTCCTTTACTGCCCATGACAATTTCCCTGCTTTGCAGTCCTGGTGACCACTTTGTGTTGCACAGATTTCCATTCTTACATGCCAAACTATTTCAGTTCCATTATCTTCAGAAGCCTCTGTGCCTTGGTTCGTTCTGTTCTCTCTTCTTAGTTACTTTGCTGTTGCTGTGAAGAGGCATCATGACCAAGGCAACTTACAGAAGAAAGAGCTGAGTGGGCTTACAATTTCAGAGGGTGAGAGTCCATGACCACCATGAGTGGAGCATGGCAGGTGGCTGGCAGGCATGGCATTGAAGCAGTAGACGAGAGCTTACATCATGATCCACAAACATGAGGCAGAGAGAGAGAGAAAGAGCACTAACTGGGAATGGCATGGGCTTTTGAAACCTCAAAGTCCACCCCCAGTGACACACCTCCTCCAACAAGGCCACACCTCCTAAGCCTTCCCAAACAGTTCCGCAACTGGAGAACAATGATTCAAATATATGATTCTTTAGGGGCCATTCTCCTTCAAAACCACAATGATCACATCCTTCCTTTGTCTAGCTAATATTTATCTGCTCTCAGTGTGGGTCACTTGCTTTACCTTCACTGACAACACAATCTCCTTGCTCTTTGGGGGTGCCTCTTCCTTATGTTAGAAAACCTTCCCCATAATTTGAACATTTGATCACTTATGGGCCCACTTTAATGGCGGCTTGCTTCTCCAGCTTTTCACCTAAGTCATGAATGATCTCCCTGGAGAAAGTACTGCATACTGGTTGTTGGGGGCGGGGTGCTGTATTTAATCTCACCATCCCACAGAAGGCAAATGCTTAATGTTTTTCATTGTTTACTTTTCCTAAACTTGCATCTGACCTTCTCCTTCAGAACTGTAGCTCATGCTTCCGTGGGCAGTTTCCAGTTATTCTCTAGGGGTCGTGGAACCCCTCTTTATGGCACACCGTTACTCACAGTCTCCTACCTAAGGCATCTATAAAAGTAGAGTTTGGACCAGCATGATCCTCAGAGCTCCTGAGCAGTTGGCACCCTCTCCTGATACTTCACATGCGTCCTGGCCTGACTCTTCAAGCCTTAGTCTCTCAAGAAGAGCCAAACAAACAAAAACAAAAACAGAAACAGAAGGAACCAAACGTTAAATACCACATTTGGGAATGTGTGTGCAAAACAAGTTTGCGACTCAGCATTGCTTACCTACGTTGAGAAAAGGGTCAGAAATTTAGATGTCAGAGATACCTCTGGGGAGAAGTGTTAGTGGGCTTTGAGTTACAGCCTCAGTTCAATCCAAGCTGAGAAGGACATGAGGAAATATTTGAGCAGACTGTTGACATGACTGATAAATGTTTAGGGAACACAAAATATTGACACTCTGCTTTTCACTAGAAAGCCTTTAAAAAAGCAAGACAAGTTTATGTGCCCCATGCCAGAGCAGGAAGTGATGACTGCCGTGTGCTCCCATGGATTTCCAGGACAAAGTATTACCCCAGAACCATGTAGGCCACACACAAAGGACACACAGTGGCTTTATCTCATCAGACAGACAATCTGAACTGTAATGCCTCAGGAGAAGGAAGGTGGGTGTGTGGCCAAATGTCTGGGGATTCAGAATCAGATAAAAAGAGGGGAGAATGTGAGCCAATTGTCTTCACCTTGCCAGATGAGGTGGTGCACACCTCTAATCCCAGCACTCGGGAGGCAGCTTGATCTCTGTAAGTTCAAGGCCAGCCTGGTCTGCATAGTGAGTTCCAGGACAGCCAGAGCTACATGGTGAGATTTATGAAAAGGGGATTTGTGAAAAACAAAGGAGCCCTCGAGGAAAAACTAGCTGTGGGTATTTGCTGAGGTCTATAATTAGTTTGTGACAGCATACATCAGGTAAGGATTTTCTTTACCTTTTCTCTCTACCGTCCTACGCAAACTCTGGAGAGATGAGGGCTAGAAAATTCGGAGGAGAGATGAGTAGGTCAACACAAGCATCTCCGGAGCTCTACTGTGTTTCCCAGGGAACATGGCCACCTGCAATCCAGTAAAGCTAAGAGACAAGCAAAAGCAAGCACTGTAAAGTTTTCATTTTTAAAAATTAATTCAAGGAGCTGGCTCATTAGTCAAAGCACTTGCTGTTCTTGCAAAAGACCTGGGTTCGATTCCCAGCACCCACATAGTGCACAGACATACAGACAGACAAAACATTTAAGCATAGAAAACGATAACAGAAATAAATATAAAAATTAATCCTGGCTGTTGTACGCCCATAATATCACTCCTTGCGAGGCAAAGGCAAGAAAATCAGAAAGGCCATTCTTAGCTAGATAATGAGTTCAAGACCAACCAGAGGTAAGTGAGACCCTGACTCAAAGAACCATACAGAAGACCCCGGTTTCATTTAAGCCATCTTAATCACTAAATGGAGGCTGAAGGGACAGGCATCAGGGGCTACCTGAAAATAACCAGGAATTTTGTGGAATTCAGACCCAAAGAGACAGTCAGAGGCAAGTAGCTTTTAAATTTTTTTGAGATGGAATCTACCAGCATAGGCCAGGCTTGCCTGGAACCTGTGATTCTCCTGCCTCCGTTTCTCAAGGCCTGGAATTATAAGCATATAACATAATCTTTAGCCTTAAATGGTTACCTGTTACCCCTCATTCCACAAATTCCATTCTGTAAAGGCTCTCGTTAAACAGACGCACTCTTCGAGTTTGCTAGTTAGATCTCTAAATGTGCTCCATTTGAGCTGCTCTCTTAGCTCCGTAGGTCTCAAAGCACCATTGTACACAGAGGGTTCCAGGGCCTTCCAGAAATTTCACTCTCTATTCCATCATGTACATTCTCATATCCAGTAAATAGTTACTGAGCTCCATGATTTGGGTGCTGGTCTAGATTCTGCAGATACAGTAAGAGAGAAAAAAAAAACAGAACAAAAAGATTTCTGATTATCCAATGTCCATTTTCTACTGATGATAATATAACACCACAAACTAGGTAAGTTTACAATTGTTTTAATAGAAGCTTGGTTTGAAATAAACATAGAAACACACACACACACACACACACACACACACACATATATACATACATACACGCATACACACAAAGAGATAAACAGCTTTTCAAATCTATGCACAGGAGTGGGAATGGTGGTGCATGCTTTGAATACCAGCACTCAGAAGGCAGAGACTGACAGATTTCTGTGAATTCAAGGCCAGCCTAACATAGCAAGTCCCAGGCTACCCAGGTCTACACAGTGAGACTTTGTTTCAAAAGAAAAATCTATGAAAAGGCTTCCCGTGCAGAATAAATAGCTAGTGCAATGACTGTAAGAAGAAGTCTGCTGTATGAAACACAGCAAAGGGCCGGGGGGTTAGACCGCTATGGTTGCAACAGTGGACGGTTTTGAATCCCATTTGAAAAGATTTTGCCCAGGCTTCTCTAATAGAGAAGAGGGGTACAAGGCTGGAGAGATGGCTCAGCCATTAAAGGCTAGGCTTAGAGCCAAAGGTGACGTCAGGAAGACTATGAGGCAATTTTATTTTCCTGTGTATGGTACAGTGATGGTGATGTCTAAGGCATAGCAGTGTGTGTGTGTGGGGGGGGGGAAATCAATGGATAAATAGAGGGTATCTTTCAATTTTTATCATTTTCATTTATTTTTATGTATATGAGTTTTTTACCTGGATGTCTGTACACCACGTGCATGCGTGATACCCATGGAGGCAGAAGGCACTGGATCCCTGGGGGAAAGGGAACTGGAGTTACCGAGGGAGGTGAGCTGCCGTGTGGGTGCTGGGAGTCAAACCCAGGTCCTTTGGGAGAACAGCCAGTGCTCTTAACAGCTGAGCCATCTCTCCATATCCATAAACTGGGGTTTTAAAAAGATGTTTTAAAAAGAGAGCCAAAGACCTCTGAGGATTGGCTATGCAACAATTTACCAAGATCACTGATTTGATCACCTGCCTCTCTAGTAATCAAGAACATTGAATCTGTTGGTGACTAGCCTTCCCACACAGTTCCCGATGAATGAGTGGGCCTAGGTGGTGGTACGTGTACTAGCTGACCCCACTACCTGTACCCAGCCAGGGTGGATACGTCACTCACTGTGGCTGGCCATTAGATCTGAGCTCTGAGAAACTTAGTCTGTGATATTACCAGAGATGAAAGGACATGTAACGGGCTGGAGCAATGGCTGCTCTTCCAGAGGATCTCAGTTTGATTTGAATTTGAGGTGTACCAACCTGCAAAACTTCTGATTAAGTTGGGGATAGGTTAAGGGAAAATAGTCTAAGATCACTTCCAGGATCCTAAATGCTGTATTTTCCCCTGGTTAGTCAGGGTTTCTATTGCTGCGACGAAACACCATGACCAAGAAGCACATTGGTGAGGAAAGGGTGTATTCAGCTCACACTTCCACATTGCTGTTCACCACTGAAGGAAGTCAGGACAGGAACTCAAACAGGGCAGGAACCTGGAGGCGGGAGCTGAAGCAGAGGCCATGGAGGGGTGCTGCTTACTGGCTTGCTCAGCCTGCTTTCTTATAGAACCCAGGACCACCGGCCCAGGGATGGCACCACCCACAATGGGCAGGGCCCTCCCCCACTGATCACTAATTGAGAAAATGCCTTACAGCTGGATCTCATGGAGGCATTTCCTCAGCTGAGGCTCCCTCCTCTCTGATGACTCCAGCTTGTGTCAAGTTGACACACAAAACCAGCCAGTACATCCCCCAAACCACTCTGTAAATATCTTAAAATATTTGAGGCTGGAACCGCAGGGGCTAGGGAAGTCTAGGGAAGTGTTCCTTGTTTATTGGTTTACGGCAGTGGTAAATAAGGTCATGAAGGAAAAAGTGCAGTGAGCTGTCCTGTGACCTTTCCAGGTTTCTGGGGGGCTGTTAACAGTGTGGGCCTAGCCCATGTAAACTGAAACTGCCTGTGTGTTCTGGCTATCCCCCCCCCCCCAGAAAGATAACATTCTCGGTCTAAATCAGGTGATGTCTTTATGGAACCCAACTCAGAAAGCCCCTCCTGAGGCTTTCTATTAGACTGAAACCGTGCTTGGCTGTTTCTCTTTGGGTATCTGCTTTATTCTTTATGCAGAAGACTGCATACTTTGGATTTTTCTTCTTCTGACAAATTCTGGTCACTTTAAAATGGAGGTCTCAATTTCTGAAACTACATGACCTCTTATTTTTATTTTTTAAATTATCTTAAAATGTTTATGTGTAAGGGTGTTTTGCCTACATGTATGTCTGTGTACTACATGCATGCAGAAAGATCTGGGTTGGATTCCTAGCATCCACCTGGTGGCTCACAATCACCTCTAACTCCAGTTTCAAAGGATCTACTGGCCTTTTCTGGCTTCTGCAGGCACCAGGTGCCTCCTCATGGCTCCCCCTGCTGGAAGAGCTAACAACCAACTCTCTCCACCTCTCCCGCATGCAAACTTCAAAAATTCTTACTTATGCCTGCCTCTGCATAAAGCACTTTATTTTTAATCCCAGCACTGGAGACGCAGAGGCAGGCAGATCTCTGTGAGTCTGAGGCCAGTCTGCACTACACAGAGAGTTCCAGGACAGCCAGAGCTATATAGAGACCCTGCTTCAAAAAGACAGAAAAGCAAGCAAGCAAGAAATCTCTCCATCATTTACAGGCAAGCCCGAAGTCATGATAAGGTCTCCGTCATCCAAGCCTGCCCAACTGTCTCCTGCAGCGCTCCACGGCTTCTCACCCCTCAATGCTATCAATTGGTTTGCCCTTGTCTTTTCACACATGCTGGGCCCCTCTACAGCGGTTTTTGGCTGTTATTTGCTTGCTTTTTGAGACAAGATCTCACTATGTATGTAGCCTTGCCTGTCCGGGAACTCACTCTATAGACCAGGCTTACCTCAAACTCAGAGATCGGCCTGCCCCTGTGGGAGTAAACGCATGTGGTATCAAGCCCGACCAACTTCCCACTCACTCATTCTTTACATCTCGGTCTCCAGCACTTCTGTGAGTGTGAGGCTGGGATACATGAACGCACTGTGATTTTTATCTGCTTCCTTGGCTGGCCTAAAGGACAGGGTCTCAGACTCGCCATTTCGAGAATGGCTGCTGCTTACTGCGCTTCCAGAAACTGAACGACAGCCCGCTCCGCCTGGAACAGCAGGGAGGCCCTGGCGTTCTCCGCCAGAACAGCCTCAAGGCAGCCGGAGTCTGGGTCCCAGGTTTCACTAGGGAGTCTCCCCTGTCTGTGCATGGGGTACTTTTTGAAAATCCCAAAGCCCGAATGCTCCCCTGCCCACACCACAGCCCAGGGGGCCGAGTCCGCGGGGCTCCAGGGAGGCCAGGCTTTCGCGTTTGGTCCTTGCTCCGTTTTGGGCATTGCTCCACGATGCTCTCCCGGAATCCACGGCGGGGCTCGCTGCGGAGGCCACGCGCACCTGCCCGCCGGGCCCGCACCAGGCTGCTGGGGCTCGAGCGCAGGGCGGCGGC